TACAAACACAGATGTATACACATTCAGATGTATATATTTTAATTACACTGATCAGAAACAAATATAATCCTATCTATAAATGTATAATTTAAGTATTTAAATATTTTAAATGTAATGTATATTTATGTATTAAAGTTTAATAATGTAATATGTATTTTATATATATATGTATATGTATATGTGTGTGTGTGTGTGTGTGTATATACAAATTAAGTTTTGATATATTTACGGTAGGAAATGTACAAAATATCTTCATGGAACATGATCTTTGGCATAAAATGTCCTATCCTAATGATTTTTGGCATAAAAGAAAAATAGATAATTTTGACCCATACAATGTATTTTTGGCTGTTGCTACAAATATACCTCAGCGACTTTAGACTGGTTTTGTGGTCCAGGGTCACATATGTACTAGTTTCTGATCAGTTTCTTTTGTATACGTTTGTTGTGAATAGTATCTACACATTGATTTACTACAGATTTCTACTTCCATTTTCATCATATTCTTCATTATGCTGCTCTACACTTTCCTGGTATCAAGTGTCTTCTCATAATAGTTCAAACACGATTTTTAAACAGTAGTTTATATAACTTTATAGTACAAGTGCACTGAGACACAAAAGCACAGATCCCTCCACCCAAAGCCAGTTTTTCTCTCTCACCTCTCTCTTGGTCTTCATTTGTCTCAGATCCTTTTTGTTGTCGGGCTGGCATTTGTAATCGGGCTGGAGAGGACATTCAGGTTCTTCTTTCAGAAGCACAAAATGAAAGCCACCAGCTTCTTTCTAGGAGGTGTCTTCATAGTGCTGATTGGATGGCCCATCGTCGGAGTGATTCTAGAGTTTTATGGCTTCTTTCTGTTATTCAGGTATTTGTTTTTTTACAATAAGTCTCTTATTCAGGCAAATTATGCAGCTACATAACTAGTAGCTCTAAGTAGATATGTTAGAAGTCAGCTGGTTTTTAATAGATGCCAATACAGATTGGCTGAAGGCAGATATAGATATCATATACGCAGAGACAGTACAGATAAATGATCATTTAATAGTAAATGAGAAAAAAAGTGAAAATTAAATGAACACTTATTTGCACAATGTTAAGTAACACGATTATATTATTTCAAATGTACATTATTCATTAAGTCTGTTGGTAGCTTTTGGAACTGAAAGCAAAGCAAACTAACATTTCAGATCAAAAATTATTCCAGTAATTCCTAATAATATATCAGTCTATATCCACATACTAATGCTTTCTCTTCATGTGTAGGGGATTCTTTCCAGTGGTCGTAGGCTTCATCAGGAGGATTCCTGTGCTGGGATACTTGCTGAATCTTCCCTTCATTAGTGGGGTATGTTGATGAAGAAGAGATTGTGAGCTGGTCTTTAAGAATCCTCTAAGATCGCAGTGAATTTAACACGTGTCCTAACCAGGCATTATGCAATAAATGACAGATAACAAACATGAGCTGTCACACCATTAAACAAGTACGTTCTGATTGAATGTGATTGTGTTAACATTTACACTATCAGTGTGAACAGACACATTACTTATCAATATAAACATATTACATCGTATCTGTTTAGGACACAGACTTAAAATAAATTAACTTCAAAAGCTTTTGCCTGCTTTAGCAGCTATGAGACTAACATGCTTTTCCACTAAATGCCAGAAAAGTGTCTTTCAACTTGTGTTTGTTGTTCTTTTAAAGCCTTCCTAAGGCTGAGTGGACAGTCAGCTATCTTGGTCAGTCACTGCTAATTCTGTGCGCATGTGAGCATGAATCATGCCGTCCTGTGTGCACTGAATATTTTAAGTGATAAATGGATCATGAATCAGATTAGATGTAATTGTAATTTCATATCTATAAATAATTTTTTCCTTGAAAGTGTCCTAATTCTTTTTTTTATTACTCTTTTTGTTTCTTCAGTATGTGGACAAAATGAGTGAAAGCAACAACATGGTTTAAAAGACTTTTTTTACCACTTATTTATGATGGGTTTTCTAAAGCATTACCTTAAAAAACCATGAGAAGTATAGAGGTCGTATTACCGAAGCTTTATATTCAGACGTGTTTCCATTGCAAGGACATCTGAGTGATATTTACGTCAGAGAGAAGCAAACTGTGCAGCGTGGAAAACAAGCCACTCCTTCGCCAGCCGGCCAAAGCAAAGCGATCTACAGAGCTGCGTCACAACATCCAGCATCCCTGAAGAACTGTGCCCTACTTTATAAATGCAAACTTCATGAAGAAGTTACTGGAGATCCTGGTTTGAATGTGTAGAAGCGACTTCTGAAAGTCTATTCTGTTACAACAATGGCCTTGTTACATGGTTGTGTCTATATTTGTATTTTAAAGAGGGAGGAGAGCTGGATGACTCTTAATTTCTTGATTTTTTTTTTTTCTATGACACCTGCTGAAAATGCAAGTGTGATATTTACACTTTCTGGTCAAATTAAACTGTTACTAATCAGACTGGCATACAGAGATGTTGTTCTTATTATTATAATAATTATGATTTATTAGTATTATTGTTAATTTTGTTCTTTTGTTGTCTTAAAAAATGTATCTCTAATTTTGTATCACTGTCAGATTGCAGCACTGGGGTTTCAAAATGTTTCTGCTGCCACAAACTTTTTAAAATATATTTAAAACCTGATATGAGGTCAGTGTCATCATTATTATTATTATTATTATTGCTTCATTAGGTATTGGGGCTATACAGTAAAAACGAAGAAAAAAAAGTGCAATATTTACATTTTTTGGGGTTCCTCAAAAAGGGTCTTTAAAAAGTTATTATTAATAAAAATAATACAAAATATTATAATATTGATATTATAAAATAATTATGTTTTATATTAAGTTTGAATTAATGATCACCAAGAGCAACAACAATTAATAATAAATTCTCTATATGCATACAATTTCTATAAAACAATTATTTTATATATTATTATGATAAAATAATTATATTTTTATTATTGTTCTTGTTGATACAAATCAAATTATTTTATTCATTAACCTGAAAAACAACAAATTGTGTCTCAAGTATATTGAGGAATGAGACAGACTTGTTTTCTTCTTCTGCCTAATTTTTACTCTGCCAAGATTTGTTGTTTTGTAATCTATTTCAGAGACCATACACATTTAAGTTTGTTTCTTATCCCTTATTCCCTTTGAGAAGTGCCATAAATTGCAAGTAATTTGGAGGCAGAGCCAGCAGATATTTATACATGTAGTGTCAAGTAGGGAAACCCCATCAGCCACTCACTGTTCATTCATAAAAAACGATTAGCTGGTGTATTTGAGACGCTTCATTGCTGAAGGTGTAAACATATCAACACTTTCCGCCCACTTCTTTTCATTAGTTAGCTATTAAAAGTGCGCACGAATGGACATTTCCCTTCAGTAGCGCTAAAACGCATAATAGCTAACAGTAAATGTAGCCAGCCCTGCGAGTGTGTCTTCAAACGTCATAGCAGTAAAGTAGGCTTATTATGTTTTTAAGGAAGGGTTAACTAATCGCTCTGAAAGGTTCGTGGTCCGGCCCCATTGTGAATCAATGGGACTTGACCTATAGCTGAAGACTAATTCATTCAAAATTCCCCCACCATGGTGATTATAAATAGAGGACAGACTTCACAGTCTCCACTCTTGATCTTGCCTCTGAGACTCAACAGTTGAAGAGAACGTCTGACACTATGAAAGTAAGTCCACATTCATGCTTGCATTTGTCTCGTAGACTTTAAGCAATTAACTTCTAACTAGACCGAATTAAAAAAAAAAAAAAAGAGAAGCTGATGTGACTACCAGGAATTTAGTAATTTTAATATCAGGAATCTTGTATTGATACGTTTGTGCATAATGCAATTAACAATGAAGAGAAAAGAGACTAAAATACAGTGTTATAAAAAAAGGCTGATTGTAATGCTCTTGCACATGGGAAATGATATATTTTAACATGACTTCACCTTTTCAGGATTTAAGGACTCTTGCGGCTTACGCACTTGCGCTGTTACTTCTGGCAACATTTGTGTCCCATTCCTGGTGTGCGCCCAAGGTATGGTAATATTATTTATTTAAACATTTACTATTTTAATTTAAAAATTGTAATAATTTGCAGTTTATTTTATTTTTTTATAAATATTTGAATTATGTTCAATATACAAGTGCAAAAAAACTGTCTTTTTTATTATAATTAAAGGGCAGTTTTCAGCGTCGGAATTGGACGCCTCAAGCCATGTTATATCTGAAGGGCACACGTATGTTCCTGCTGTCTGTCAACCGTATTTGTGTCTAAAACTGCTTATACGATTACTTTTGTTCCGTACAATTTTAAATGAATTAGTTTTTTATTGTTTATAATAGAGGGACAGCGCTTTGTGTCTGAAGACAGAAATGAAGGGGACTTGTATGACACAATACGCTTGGGTATGAATTAAAAACTCACAGTTTGTGACTTTTGTTCTCTAAACCATTATTTATGCTTGCTGAGACTTTAGTGTTCATATTGCATACACGTGGGAGACAACTGGTTTAATACTAAGAAAGTGTAATACTAATTGTAAACTTGTAAATAAATATGAGTATAATACATAAACTGTCATTCTCCACAGAGTCACGCAGCCAAAACACAGAAAACCTGAGCATCTCTAAAGCGGCTGCATTTCTCTTAAATGTTCTCCAGCAAGCCAGAGACGAGGGTGAGCCTTACTGAAACCAGCTAAAAGAGCGCCAACAACTCACTCTTACATCTTACAGTTTTGTGAGCCATGTGGAATTTAATGTTTTCATCCTCCGCTACAGTGATGCCCGTGTTGGACATCTCTGAAGCTTCATCACTTACTGGTCAACACTATTACAGTCAGATTTGAGTAATGTAGAGTTATGTGTGTCTCCAGATTGTTTGTATGATTCCACTTGGACTGATCATTTAAATAACAAAGACTGGTAGTAAGATATTTTTATTTCTTTTTATTTCTTTATTTATTTCAGGGGAAATAATGGGTTGTTTTTTCAAGACATATCATCTTGGAAAAGAGACTACTTATGAGGATTGAAATTCTGTGTGATATATAATTAACTGTACAGATTTTTTGTCCTTTTCATTTTCTCATGTTAAATCAACATGTGAATTGAATGGTCTGTAAAATGCATATTTGCGAATGTGTGAACATTTTCTCAATTAATTAAACTGAATTTGCACTGATAACCGCTAGTGTGAGTGAGACTTTTTAAATAAAACATGGATAGGATACATATTTGCACATTATGTGGTTGAACTTTGCTAATCATTGATATATATATAAAGGTGTTTTTTTCCCAACATTTGCACAAATTATTGCCTCATATGGCACCAATATGCCAAATTTGGTTTAAAACACCAAAAAGATGCGTGTTTAGTACCACATTTATATCCAAAAGTCTAGTGAAACCATTTGAGTTGCATGAACTCCACAAGTTCATGTCAAACCTGATGATCATGTGATTTTTGATGCTCAAGAGTGTCTTGAGCTTCAACAAAAGCAAGAATCATGGTTCAGTTATCACTAGTCACAAGTTTAAATGGGTTATTAAATCCCAGATTTTCAGTATCATCTCAGACTTTCAAATGCCACTGTATGTGATCGATATCTTCTCATTCATACTCAGTGTTGGGGGTAACACATTACAAGTAATGCGAGTTACGTAATCAGATTATTTTTTTTAAGTAACTAGTAAAGTAACGCATTACTTTTTAATTTACAAGAGAATATCGGAGTTACTTTTTCAAATAAGTAACGCAAGTTACTTTTTTTCCAGTTTATTGACTGACAGCTCCCCTGTCCCCATGTTGAGAGAAATCAGAAGATGTTACTGTAGTTCTAAAATAAATATGAATATGCATTAATTCATCTCACTCACAAAAAAACAAAACACAGATTCAGTATTCCTCAAAATGAATAAACATAATGCAACTCGGAATATGACTCAAACCTGCAATAATTAAATGTTAAACAACACAAATATCTAGGGCTGCGCGATAAATCGCATGCGATATTTAACGCGCATCTTGTCAGTAAA